TCATTTATTAGCACATGAATATTATGACTATTAGTATATAGTCCTTGTTCTTGATAGGCTGGGGTGAAAGAGCATGAAGTCATGTAAAGTCAAGGAACACTATAAAAAGTTCTACAAAAGAGGACTGTTCCAGCCACACAGAGCCCTGCAGGGGTGCGTGGACACAAAGAAGTTTAGGAAAATAGCAGTTCTATGTTATGTCTAAGGTGTTAGATATTCAGACAGATAGTGATGTTAAGACAAACTGCCTCAGTTACAGGGTAATAATATCATTAAGCTTCTCTTCTGGATGTTTAACAACTTAAGTTTGCAGACCAAAAATTAGAGAAATAGAGAGGCTACAAGGATAGCCAATATTTTGGCCCTAGCTCTTCAAGGTCAGTGAGGACTCAGGACATAAGAGAACCTGTGCTGTGACATCCTGAAACTCAGTGGTGTCCCAAATTTTTTGATCAAGGAGATAATGGGGCCACAAAGGAAATTGATCAACGATGTATAGTGTGCCTAAGGATTGTCACCTAACATTCTCTCAGGGTTTCACAGAGAGCAAATTGGTCAAGCAATGGCCATGACTCATCCACATGACTGACAATGACAAAAGATCTACAAGGTGCTATACATGGTTTCAGGGTAAATCCTGAGGAGATATGACTGACCTCATCAGATACGAAAGTTACATTTTAGTTATATATGTCTTGTTTTTTTTTTTAAAGATTTTTTTTTAATTTTATTTATTTGTGTGTGTGGCCAGCTCAGCCCACCAGGGGGCGGGCTGGCTGGCATGTGGTGCTGGGGGATTGAACCGTGGTCCCTGGGCTTTGCTAAAGCTTGTTCTAAGTAGGTGCTTTAGACCACTGAGCCATCTCACCAGCCCTACAGGTCTTGTTTTAACTTGTTCTTAAACATCCAACAGAAAAGTATAACCATGAGGTACAAAAAGTAAGCCATATTAATATGCTGAGCTGTAAATGGCTTAAGTCAATAACTTCTGACAATTGCCAGTTCTGCTGACAACCCACTACTATTATGAACTATTGGACTATATTGAGTTATTTTGCTGAATTCAGATACCTACAATCTTTAGACTGGCTTCAAGTATGAAAAGCCTCTCTAAAGACTTCTCCAAATACAGCTTCTCTAGCTGCAATGGAACACCCACTCTGACAAAACAAAACAAAGATGGGGGATATACATAAAGGGCCATTTTGTAGTGAAAAAATATATATGTATATACAAATAGTTAGGATAGATATACAGCTACTTTATCTTAGTTCAATGAGAAGAAAGGTTTGCACTAATATTTTTATATATATATATATTTATTTATTTATTTATTTATTTATTTATTTAATGTCTGTGTGTGGCCAGCTCAGCCCACCAGGGGGCGGGGCTGGCTGGCATGTGGTGCTGGGGGATTGAACCGTGGTCCCTGTGCTGAGCTTAGCTTGTTCTAAGTAGGTGCTTTAGACTACTGAGCCATCTCACCAGCCCTGCACTAATATTGTTTAGGCAAAATATCATGTCTGCATTTGTTCTCTGAATAACCACTATAAAGACAACAATATGCAATATATTAATTATTGTAACTGTCCTACTAACCTGTTTGAAACTGCTCCAGTATTATTTTATTTTCTCATTAAAATGAATAAAATATTAAAAAAAGTTTAGTAACAAGGAAAGAATAGTAAGTGGCAGTTAAACTGAGGAAGGACTTCTGATTAGCTAATTGTAGATCCAACATTTCATTCGCGTATTCTGTATCTTATACTTAACACAAATGTAGAGCATGTGTTGTTTTCCGATTAAATAACATATGCTAGACACCTCTGATTTGTTGGTCATTGTAATGTTCTCCTACATGCTGTAGATCACCCAATGCTCGCCACACTGAGGAACAGACACTTGAGCTGGCTCTGATTTCAGCCTGGTGTTTTTCTGCTTTTGAGCAGAGAGACTATTATCAGTCATCAGGGTGAGTGATCTGCAATGACCCATAGGCCCCTGCAGTCCCTCATGTTTGCATTTCTGTCCAATGGATATACTGTACTAGCATACAGTTGCATTCTTAGGACATGACAAGTCATGATGAAGAAAGGTAACTAAACACATTGTGAATTTTAAAAAAATTTACAGTAAATTTTATATGTATAAAAGCAATGAAGCACAAGTGTGATGTCAGTGTTTCACTGCTGCTGGCACTAATCTTGCTCATATGCTTTAGGGACCTAAGAGACATGCTGAGAATACTACTTTTTTCCTTCCCACCAGAAGAGAACGAGCATCTGCTCACACTCTCTCTAGCTCAATGGTACTAGTAGCAGCTAGTACCAACCTAGTTTTCCATGACAGAAACTTGGGTTTACTTTCTACTTGGTCTCCAAGTCCCTCTCACATGGTTCTCATCTTCACTTCTCTTAGTATCACTGCTCTTGGCAGGTCCTCCCAACCTTGGGCCTGGCTGACCACATAGCAGTGATTTCCTCCTGCTTTGGGTCACTGTCTCGTCTCTCCATCTATCTGCCACCACTGTGTGGTTCCAGCCACCACTCTAGGCAAGATTACTCCTTTACTTCAGATTTTAGCTGCTTCCTAGTGGCTGTACCCAGGATGAAGGCTGGAGGCCAAGCCTGGATTATCTAGATTTTCATTTTCTGACCCCCTTCTGCTATTACCCAGGCCAGCAATGCCAGTGACACTGGACCACTTGCCCAACCTATGACTCTGGACATGATCTTTCCAACACTGTGGGCTTCTCAGAGCCTATATACAATTCCCATCATATTTTTTCCAACCTGTTTTTCAGGTTAACTCCCATATGAGGTATTATTTCTTCTGGACTTGTGGCTTAGAAATAACAAAAGAACAGAAAGACACCTAAGTTTGCGTGCTTCTGCAGTGATGGGCCCTTCACTCTTGGGAGTCAGCCCCACTCCTCAGTTTCATGCCCTAGCCAGCTCATACACAGCACTGAGAGCTCAGACTCACTGGTATGTTCGCTATGCTCAGTTTCAGTTCTGGCTGAAGAGATAAATCAAGTGGTGAATGGGTTGGCTAATGTAAACATAGTATCTAGACAGACTGTCTGCTTCTCCTTAGAAACATGTTCTTCTTTAAAGGCAATCAGCACCTCTGTTTTCATAGACAATTCTGAATGTGCTTAATCAAACTAAATTGCCCTTGCTAGCAAAAATGATCATGAACAAGAGGTAAATTGTTTTATGTAATATAAAATATTTTATGTAGGGGCTGGGGAGATAGCTCAGCAGTCTAAGTGCCTGCCTAGCAAGCACAAGGATCTTGGTACCGCATGCCATACAGGCCAAGAACCCTGAGTGCCAGTGCTGGCCACCAAAACCCGGCATGGTGGTGCACGCCTGTAATCCCAGTGTGAGGGAGGCTGAGAAAGGAGGATTACTATGAGTCTGAGCTGTGTAGTGAGACCCTGTATCAAATAAATAAATAAAGGTTTTTTTAACTTAATACTATTTTATTTAAATAAAATTGTAAAGTTTATATTGTAAGGATAATTAAAATATTATTCTACCTTATGAACACACGTAAGACCTTTAATTGATCTTCTACTTACCTCTAAAGTGCAACTGGGACTTAAAAATTAAAAAATGAGAAAGTTCAGTTATTAGCATTAAGCCAACCCATTTAGGAGATCAATCATACCACTTAAGTTATTGCTCCTAATATTATCAATGACTACCAGAAAAAAATATGAAGGAAAATATGAAAGGAAAATGTGGAAGTATGATAAAAGTGCTTAGAAGTAAATACACATCACAGAATCATATTTCTGAATATGTGACCTTCCATGGATTTGAAGCAGGGCCTTAGTTACAATAACCATATGATACACTCGAAAGTGCAGGCTAGCTCAGAGTTAAAACCTTATTAACATTAGTGATTTTCAAAATAAAATTTTAGTTTAGGAGAATTTTTAATGATTGCAGCATGTACTCACAGATTTCATAAATATCACTTTAATACAGAGGAACAGATAAAAGTTTAAATTATTTCTAGCCTAAAAACATTACAGATGATTATTTTTATTCCCTCTCTTCATTACAGACTCAATGTGGATATATGCTATCCAAGATACTTTGTTTTTAAATAGATGGCAACTTATTTTTTACTTAAAATTTAAAAGGCAAGGTCAGATCCCAATCCTACAGGCCCATGGTAGCTCTCAGCAGGGTCTTCCGAGACTTTATGAAATCTGATAATAAAGGATCACTCACTCTTGTTTATTTTAAGAACTCTGCCAACAACTCTAGGTTCAAAACATAAATCTATTTAGGTAAAGATATTAGAGTATGCAACTGCAAGTAGAGCAAATTATGAAAGAAATTCGTTTATGGTCCTATGAATATAAAACAGCAAGTCAGCCAGCTATCTCAGATGTAATCCAGCATCTAGGCCTGCAACAGCGTTCCAGCTATGATATTAAAATAGCAAACCTTTGCTGAGCATTAACCTATCATTACACCGAGTAAATGGCATGGCTCTGCCACCTAATTAGCAGTGTAGCTTGCATCTATAAAATAGAATTAGCACCACTGCTCTTTTTTATTATTAGTTTTTGTTTCCAGAAAGGTATGACCTTATCTGTATGCTTCTGTTCATTTATGTCCATCTACCAAGGATTTAATTATGTTCTTTTAGTTTTCTATACCAAGGAAATTGAAAACTGCCACTTTGAAATTAAAAATGTTAAAGAAATTAAGTGAGCAGATTATTTATGCCTACTGCTTTTCTTCTTTCAGAGATAATGAATGGAAACATATTTAGACAAAATGTAAGTCACATAGGTTTGGGGAAAGAGAATTCAAAGCAAAGAAATTATTACTATTCTTCTTTTCTCTTTCCCACATAGGTATTTTCCAACTTCTTCTGGTTATTTTGGGCAGAACCAATGAAAGGAAAATTGCACTAAAACTACAAACTCCTAAAAGTCATACCAAATAGTCAGCAGCCAGAAGATATCAACTTACATCTGACGAAGGTGATTCAAGAACAATGCCGAACCCCAGGACGTGGCTCTGCCCAGTGGAGGTGTGCTCTGTGGCCTGGACTGCGGACTGCCCCGAGGACCCTGCGGCTGACTTCTTCTCCACTTCTACCACACTAGTCTTCTGCTTCACAGTAGTAGGTTCTGCGGGCTTTGTGGGCACTTTTTTCTTTTTATTTCTCTTGCGAGAGACAGCAGTTCGCTGGGAGCATATAAGGGAAATTGGGGGTTGTTGTCTGTTTTGAGTTCCAACTGTGAATAATAAACACAAATATGGTACAGACACTTGGGTCTGAGGAAACCTTACCCTGGATCAAGCTCTGACATTTCCAAAGAAACAGTGAAATGAAGCTCCCTCAAGGATAAAGCATATCAAAACAAATCTTACTCTGTACCAGATGCAGGCTGGGGCACTTTAAAGCCCTAAGGGCAGAGATAAACCCAGAGGAAACCTGCTCCAACCCTAGTGGATCACTTGGTGTAAGGGTGGCTTCCACAGAAGAAAAAGATCAAGAGCCACGAGAAAACATTCCATCACCACTTCATGAACCATGTGGTATTTGTAAATAAATGAGATCCAGAACTTAAATTTAGGGACAGCTGTCTATGCTTTCAGGTAAGCCCCTTTCAGGAATATTCTGACTGTCCTTTGGAGTCAGCCAATCATTTGCTAACACTGCACAGGTACCAAAACAGACAGAGATGGAACAGTGATTATTACACGGGAAAGATTGATGAAGAGGTACGGCTTGGAAGGACTCTGTCACAGGGACCGGTAAGCACATGAAGCATGCCCGTTAATCACTTAATTGGGCCTGGTAGTTCCTTCCTCATCAGATGCTCCGCACACATCCATCCTCTCCAGGGCATGACACCAAAGGGCATTAGACCAGGATGCTTTTCTTTTACTTTTATTCTTTTTCTTTTCAGAACTGGGGATTGAACTCAGGCCCTTGCGCTCACCAGGGAAGCGCTTATTCTACTGAGCCATCTGCCCAGCCCAAGGCGACTTTTTTAGACTTGTTTTACACAGCTGAAAAGCCAAGCAGATTAGAAAATCTAGAAGCAGTCTGAGTTCCAAAGATGAAAAACACAGTACCAGGACTAAGTACGCACAGTAAACATACACTTAAAGAATCCAAGCTGGTCAATGCAGTTTTCACAGGTGCACTGTGAGAAACACTGTTCTCTAACCATTTGAAAACTTCCCAGTGGAACATGAAGCAGGAGTATATGGCTTGAATTTGTACTCAATTCCCTAGTATTAATATGACTTCCTAAATACCAAGCAGGACATGCCTGCTTTTTGACAGAACGAAACCTATAAATTTAAGCCAAGAAAAACAAATAGTCTTCAAAGTCACATGCATACAAATCATTTCCTCTTACTTTTTTCAGTCTGAAAATAAAGAATATTTACACTTTGATCCTGATAGTTTCATCTTCAGGCAGGAAGGAAATTTAAAAGTATTGGACACAAGCTACCTAAGAAAATCGAAGTTGTTTAAATAACCATTCATGTAGCAGTTAATCTCACTGGTGCTCCACTTTAGTGGCACATGAGAATTACTACTTTTTTGGGTTGTTTTTTTTTAAATAGCCAACTCCAAGAGCCTCAACCCCAATGCACAGCAAGGGAAGGGGAACATCCAGGGCAGGGCTGGCAACAGCACTCTGCTAAGCCTTCTCCAGCAACTGCATGCCTCCATGCCAAGAACTGCTCTCTGCTCCACCTACCTACATTCTACTCCCTGCCAGGACAGTCCGATCTCTTATCTCTGAGATCCAACAGGACAGTGAGACAACAACCTTGGCCAGTGAGGTGGCAGCCTTATTGCATTTCTTCATATTCAAGTAAAAGTAAGAATGTTTTTTGACTTAAAGAACACAGGTCTGACTATTGATTCTCCTTTTGAAAAGCTAGACATAGCTCATGTTCATAGCACCCCGACCTTACTGCCTTGTCTTGTCCCTAAAATAAAGGTAAAACTTTCAAAATATAATTTAAATCTGAGTCTTACTAGTAATGAAACTTAAATAAATCTACCCATACAAGTTTTTCTTAGTTTATGCAAATTAAAGGAGTAATTTATTAAGTTTATCCTTTATGCTATCCATCACTTTGGAATCATTTACTTTTCTAATCTGCAAAGGTTGAAAAAGGAATACATGGTGACAAAGTGGCATTTACTTAATAGATTCTAAAAAGGCTTCAGTCAAGGATTTAAATGGTTGCAATTTGTAGTTTGCCATTTCAGAAATAAGGAGCTTAAGTAATGAAATAAATCATTACAGTTTCACACGCATATTTTCTTAAGTACAACAAATTCTCCCTGAGAAAAGAATTTGTACATAACAGAGTAACCTTTCTTTCTGAGGCCCTTCTTTAAGAGATGCTAACCTTTGCCTGGCTTACGAGAGCACAGACTATCGTGGTGAAACAAGGTGAATCAAATGCTTACTGACCTGAGCAAAATGTTTTTTGCCTTGGGATAAGGCCAAACTTAGTACTTCAGAACACGAGGCTTTTCAGCAAGTCTTTAGCTCACCTTACTTTAATATGATCTTGAGTGACTGATATAGCTAAGAATTAAGCATTTATATAAAAATCACATTGCTAAGCATTAGGATTTTACCAGAACTCACTGAATGGCACCAAGAGCAGCTTCAAAGTGATGACCTTCCTGAATGCCAGATGATGAAAAGGCAGGCAGGCCAGGCAGGATGGGCCTCTGCTATCTGTTCTCCTGCTTTACCTAACTAACACCAAGCAGCAGTTTCCCCTGACAAGAGGGAAGACTTAATAAGATGATTTATTATTTTTTGTACCTGTGGCAAAAAAAATCTGCTTCCCCCTAATTGTGGAGATGAGAAAATGAGCTGCTCGATGAAGACCTTGACCTCCAGCCTCCAACACTAATGAGATAGCTTCTGCTGGCATCACACCTTCCAAAGTTATTTGTTTGCTTTCTCATTTTGATTTGAAAATAATTCTGTGCATTAGATGTCAAGGCTCCATTTACTGGCAAAACTGAGGCACACAGGAGAAATGGGGTGTCCAATCCCCAGTGCAAATCCTATACTCTTCTGTTCTTCACCTCATCCAACTACAGTGGGAAAAAAACCCTGTAATCATGAAATGCAAGGGACAGACTTGAGGTGTCTCTGAGCTTTCACAGTGGAACTTGCGGCTCAACACTTCGTGGTGTTAACACACACGAACATCTTCCACAGGGGGCTCTCGCTTCCTAAAGGGCTCTTCTATAGTGTATGCACCAAGATTTAAAATTAACTGGTATTTGTGAAGTATTGAGAGGTCATGCTATGAAGTATACTGACTACATGTATATAAGTATACAAGTAGTATTATGAGTGATCCAAATTTTCTTGATTTACTATAGGGAAAAAAAAATGTCTAGTCACAGAAAAGGCCAAAAGGATGGATTCTGGAAAAGGCACAGCAAAACAGCAAGGAGGGAAGGATTCTGCAACAAAAGCAAAGTGCAAATACGAACTGCAGATGCCAAATATGTGGTGACAATCAAAGACCCCCGGAGAGGCCTGTTTTTTGTACCTGCTTGGATCTGCATTAGTTTCCGCATGGTCTTGAGCTCTTGGAGAATGGCCTGTAATGTTGACTGGCAGTTACAAGTACAGCAGTTTGATCCAACTGATGAATTCACCACCGGAAGTTCTCCTAAGCATGAGAGAAAAAAAATGACACTTACCCAAGAAAAAAAAATTATAGAGGGGGAGGCAAGATGGCATCTTAGCAGGATTTTGAGCTGTGTGAAATCAGTATGAAACTGTGCCCAAGGAAAATGAGGCAAATAGTTTTCATAGCCTGGATTGTGGAGTTTACTCTATTTGATTATTTGACTTCTCTGAGGCAAGGTGCAGGCTGAGTCACAGGAAAATACATGCAGGCCTCCCTGCTATAGAGCTGGTTATCTCAGAAAACACCCCAAGAAGTCAGAAGTCACCACAAACACACTCATGCTGGTGTGCACAAAACAAAACACCTGCCACCTCTAACTCTGATGTCAGGCACTCACAACAGTTGGTCTCTGTGTACTGTTATCAGAGTTCATATTAAGAATTGAGAGTTGATTAAAAATTTGCTTCTCTGCCGTCACTGGGAGCATAGAGAAACACAGGGAACTCCCTCTGGGTGGCTGTGCAGGACAGAAGGGGCAGGGAGTTGAGGAGGGGTGGAGCTCTTCACCTGGATGCACCAGAAGGTGTTGGCGGGCACCTTTCCCCCAGCTGGTAAGGTCCTCCTACATCTCTACCACTCCTGTCTCACACATTCCCACTGCCCCCACCACGTGTTCTCTATCACTGTATAAATGCAAGGAATTTTTCTTGAATAAAATGTCCCTGTTCTGCTTGCCTTACACATAAACAAACATCCTCATATTGTCCTGGGATCAAAAGTCACAGTGGGAAAGGACTCCGGTGGCTTGGTCCAGTCCCCACAATGCTGATGTCCACCACAGTACAATGGAGAAGTGAAAGACCTAGCTGCCACTTCAGCCTTCTGCTAGTTAGGCAAGGTAAGTGCTACAGTTCTGTTCCAATTACATGCCTTATTATACCCTAGATATCACTTAAATCTGTAATACACATTATGTGCAAATACTAAAGAAAAGTTCACCCCCACAGAATTACAGAACAGTTTTAGCACAACTATTTATATTTAAGAGTGTTACTAAACTTAGGCATTACAGGTTAAAAACTGCAAGTGATTCTGGGAAAATATCAACAGAAGTCCAGTTATATAAAGGTGGGCCTTGAATTGTGTGGAGGTCAGGGACACCAAAACTGTACCATCAGAAATCCATGCAGAGGGCTGGCGAGATAGATTAGTGGTCTAAAGCACCTGCTTAGGCAGGTGCAGGGCACCATGATTCAATCCCCAGCACCACCTGTTGTGCCAGCCCTGCCCTCAGGGCAGGCTGAGCTGGAAAAAAAAATCCATGGAGAACTACATTTATATTTTCTTTTTTAGTATTGAAGATTGAACCCAGGGCTTTTGCATTGAGCTACATCACACATACCTTACTTATTCTGTGAGACAGGGTCTCATGAAATCACCAGGCTTGGTATGAATTTGAGATTCTCCTGCCTCAGCTTCCCAGACTGCTGGGATTATAGGCATGCATACCACACCAGGTGGAGGACATTTTTTTTTAAAGAGAATTAAAAAAGAAACCCAAAATACAGAATTTCAAAACAAGATGATAGGAAATTAACAATGGTTGTTATATTGTATATTCTTATTTTCAAAAGTTATTCAGATTATCAGGTAGAGGCACGTAAAACTGATGAAATAAGCATTAACTGGTCCTTACAATAAACCAATAGAAATGAGTAGTACAATTATCTTAGCTATCTTGTGCATATATTTTTCTGTTCCTTCTTTCTTTCTCTCCTTTCCCCCATCCTAGTTGTTCTTTCCTTTTGAGCAGTTTGGGTGGAGGATTTCTGATTGGAACTTTTGATTCTCAGCAGTGTCCAGGTGAGATGACTATGAATTTCTTCCACTAGTACAGTCTCTAGAGCTAGTTAACTTATGCAGTGACAGCGTAATACTGTATCCTCACGTTGCTCCTAGTTCTCTCAACTGAGAATGGTATCATGTATAGCCTACATGTGTGTAAATTCTGATAACTTAAAAATCATAATAGATTTGTGTATGATTATGGTAGTAAATGAAAAGCCATCATTATCTATTGACATTTTGTGCATTCATGACATAACTTTTTCTCAATTTTCTATTTCTAGACCATGAAGTTCATCTAAGAGTTTTCCTAAATTGTGATAAATTTCAAAAGAAAATTCTTCTCATAGTGGACGTACCCAGTTCAAACCCATGTTATTCAAGGGTCAACTGTATAATGCATTTTTGTTGAATGTATACAAACAGTAAGCACAAAAAGGTCTATTTTGACAGAGAGGGAAAAATTTATGGTGTAATCTGTATTAACATTAGTAACATTCTCCAAGTCAAATCCACTATCCTGTGTACTGGAAACCAGAATACTCGTCACCCAAAAATTATCCATACACACCTAAAGCATCTCATTTTCATTACCATCTCTTTCACAGGAGAGTGAAGAGGGCTTTTAGGATATTCCTAGGCACTACTCTAAATGCTATCTTTGTCATTTTTAGAGGACAAACCTATCCTTCTTGGATCATTATAAATCACTTTCTAATTTTAAAGAGAAAGGACTATTTTTATGGAGGAGTGTTTAAAGAGCCATCTCAGCAGGAAGAAGCCAGTACATTGGCCCAGCTGACACTGGGAGGAAAAGCCTCTGCTTGGGTTTGGGTTCCTTGCCACCTCATCAGTGCTCAGGAAGGCTTTTCTAGCCCTTGAGCAGAATACTACAAATTGTATTTAAAGAGAAAAAACAAATCAAAACTTGTCTTAAAGGATATCATAACATGAAAATAATAGAAGAAAATCTTTAAGTGTTTCAGAAACTCAAAACCTCTCATTTTTTTCCCTCAGACTTTGCAAAACCTATAGATTTGTATATGTACAGGCAACCTATAAAACAAATAATGTTCAGTGTTGCTGGATGGAAAATTAACATGACCAGCAAGGCATCAATTGTTTTTTCCTTAAGTTTGAAAATAACTACCTTTCCCCTTTAATAATTAAGAGCCCTTAAGGAAATTTTGTTTTAAGACAATACTTTCCAGTGCTAATGAGGCAAGTTAGGAACATGGGTCCTCAGGTTCAGCCCCAGAATGGGAGGATTAACGAAGAGAGTTCTACGAGAGATGAGGTTATCAGCCCTCTCCCTCACTAGCACTCTCCTGATGATGAAGCTACACAGTGTATTAAAAAAAACACAGTGAATATTTAAATTTAAAAATGTATTACAGTAAAAGACACACTGCCACAAATCCTCTTCAATATTCCCCCATATTGTGACCACACTCATTCCATCATCCTTGCCACCTTCTGAAGAGTTCTGAAAATTCTCTCTAGTGAGTGTCATTAGTTGCAAGGTCGTACCTGCTTCCACATTCTGAACTGGTTCAACATACTTGCCTTTCACCGTTTTGACGTTGAGGGAGTGCCAGAAGCCACACAGTGTCAGACCCACTGGATAAGACAGATGGGGACACATTATGAAGTTTTTATGAGCCTGCCTTTCCGTTGAATGGAGGTCAGCTACAAGATTCACCATATTTGTAATAAGACCTCAAAAAGACAATCTTGAAAGAGTTCCAGACCTGCTTCAGAAAGCAGCAGGAACTATGGGACCAGTGGGTGGGTGTGAAGCAAGGGGGAGTCTCTTGAGGGGTATTCATAGCAACATATCTTTTACTGTAATCAATTTTTTTTTTTTTTTGGTGGAACTGGGGATTGAACTCAGACCCTTGCCCTTGGCAGGCAATGTAATCAATTTTGTAAAGGTTTAGATACCATATGCTCTGATCCCTTCCTTTTGAGTGAAGAAGTAAGCAAAAGGATACACTATATATACCTGTAATACAACATACAGTGAGGTAGATTGTTTTAGTGGTAGGGAGAGCTGTTTATGCCCTAATGTTCAACCTCCTGTGACATCTATATATAAGCAGATGATAGTTTTAACTTCTTTGAGCCCTGAAAACTCTACTGAGAAATCTTCACATAGGACACAGAACCTCCATCTTTCCTGATTCTCAGTTCTAGATGTTTTAATATGCTTCCACATTTCCCTTCATGTTTTCCGTCTTTTGAAATGACTCAGTGTGAGTGACGAGAAAGAGTTCAGTAAACTGATCTAAAGAATAAACTTAGGGCTGGTGAGACGGCTCAGTGGTCTAAAGCACCTACTTAGAACAAGCTTAGCAAAGCACAGGGACCGCGGTTCAATCCTCCAGCACCACATGCCAGCCAGCCCC